ACTTGAATAGATGCAAATATATTTTGGCACTGGAGCATATCACATTCAAAAGCACCTAAGTGTGAATTTCCAAGATGCAGTTTCTGTAGCACTTCTAAAATGAGAGATGAATGTTTAATGGATCTGACAGACCAGCAAGAAGACCAAAGGTGTCCACTGATAAGAATGTAAAAATTAATTACATTTAACAGTGACCAGTTTTTAAAAATATATAGTATTGCAGATAAATAATAATTCAATGACTAGTTCCTAGAAATTCCAAGACAATTCTGAAATATTTCTTGAATTACAACATGCTTGAATATTGTGCCATTTCTTATTAAACATATGACGACTGGGGTCAGAGGACTTGAGGCTTAGACCAAGAAAAGCTGTGGTCTATGAGTAAGACATCATGGTCACATTTGTAATTTCTTCTTTCCGTTAATCCAGTTTATGGAGTTCACCGGGGAGCCTAAGAGAGAGGGGACCTGAGCTCTGGGTACACATTAAGAGAAGAGCATATTTAGATATGAAGATGAAGAGAAAGATATCTTATACCACATATTAGATAATACACAGTTCATGTTCACAGTTCTAGTAAATGTTCTTCATGTTAATGACAATGCTAACTGATGAAAACCTTTCGTGTGTGTGTGTGTGTGTGTGTGTGTGTGTGTTTGGGGGGTATGCTATATGAGAAAAGACAGTTTACTGACATAAGTTGATAAGAAGAAAAGAAGAAAACACTCTTGCCCCTAATGGCAACAACCTGCTAAATTTAAACAAATCTATTAGTTGGCATTCACATGTGTTAAGTGATTTAGATAAGGAAGTTGTAATTACTACTTGTGCTTTTTTTAATGGCATAGCCTAGCACATTTCCAAATGAAAGTAATTTACCAATGAAGAGATAGCTGAATACCAAATATTAGCACTAAGCTGGAAACTGATGATAAGGGAGGGTGCAGTGGGTGGTATAGGATGAGCCTAAGGTGCAGGCAAGGAAGGGTAATGTGGTCAGACATCACTGGGATGTGGGTTGACACCCACCTGTGTTTTCTCTCCTAGATCCTTTTTGTTATAAAAGCAGGAAACAGTTACAAAACTATTTCTTATGTTATATCCTTCATGGGTCCAACTTCTTGGGTTTACACACCAGGAAATTCTGAGGACTAAGAAACAACGGGCCAGGAACGATGGTAAACCAGCAACCACTACAGTAAGCCAGAGACTGAACTTAGGACAACACGTGTGGGAAACAAAATAGCCTGGACTTTATGCTCTTCAGGGCTATGGATAGAACCTATGCCTAGCTTGGAAAGCCACGAACATTTAACAGCATATACAAGTCAAGGTTTGAGAGTGTGAATGCATGAATGATAATGAGGGATAATGAATGGTCTGCTATCACTTTTTTCAATGTTCTGTGCTAATACAGCAGCTGTCCAGCTATTCCAAGACCCATCTCCAAGAAGCTTGGTTGCCAAGAGTTAATTCAAAGCACTTGCCTTTGCAAAAATTACCTAAGCAGGACATGCAGAAGTGCTCTATAGAACTGCTTTTAAAAAGCTGCCTCATGGGCAAAAGCCAAGACAGGATCTAGTATGAAAACAGTGTTTTATTTAGTCCTGCTCCCCATTTATTGTGTTTTTAATGAAATCCATTTTTGGTTTACTTTTACTATAGGCTTTTTAAAAATTAAACCTTTATTGAGCTAGCTTATGATCCTCATATACAAATGCTGAGCCCGGCCTGGCTTCGTCTCCGGCAGTGAGGATGATCTGGAAGGAGGAATGATTCAGTCCTCTGCACTTCCTTTTATTTTCACTACACATATTCACTTCGAACGTGTCACATCACTTTGAATTTAAAAGACATGTTCCAGTTTTCATTTTAACAATCTTCAAACATCAAGCAAGCCAAAGGAAAGAATTTTAATCCTTAATTATGAAAGACTGAAGCTGTTTTACCTTGGATAAGATATACAGGATATACGCTAAAGAAAGAATGGCAAGGTGAAAAAACAAGTTCTCCCCTTATTACTCTGAAGTCCCCTTGATCTGGATGCCATTTCGTACTCGCTTGCACTGACATTTGCTAATGGCATTTCTATTTTGTGCACAGCACTCTAATACAGAGACTTCAGCAGCTCAGCAGGACGCCAGAAGAACCCAAGCCCACCAGATCTGAACATCATGGTTCCACTTCCATGATAATAAAAGAATTAAGGACACTTCACAGTGCTGCAGGATATTTGATCACACCAAAAACCCCAAGATTGTTGTTTACTGGAAAAACCTGTTTCTAGTTGGGGTGTGGCTCAGCCTTAGCACACCTTTAATCCCTCTGGTTGGAATACAGACATACCCTTAGTATGTACCTTTAATCCCAAACAATGAAGGTAAAGTGAATTGATAGAAGGAAGCACCCAAGTTTGAGAGTGACTCCTAATTGTGGGGCTGACAAAATGATAAATTAGTGAAAAATCTGACAGAATGACTCAGAGATAGGATAAACCCAATTCTCAGGAGAAAAGACAGGAAGGAGAGGTGACTTAAGAGAGAGCAGTGCAGAGAGAGAGAGGAGCCAATTTTACTGACACAGTTATAGAGCAACAGGTTGCAGAAAAGAAACGAGCTAGACACAGGTGAAGACAGAATGAAAAGCAGCCAGAATATTTGAACATATGAAAATTAGTATGAGGCCAAGCAGAGCAATTCAGTCAGAGACCAAGAGAGAAGCCAGACTAAGTCAGTCAGCTTGGAGAGGAGTTTGAATAAGAACAACTGAGTTGAACAAGCCAGCCAGAGTTCAGAGGGTGTGCTAATTCAGCAGTAAGTCTCAGAGGCTGAAAATAAGGCCTATATAAGATTTTAGGAAGGCTAGAAGCTCAGTCTAGCACATGTAGGCAATAAGCTTCAGAGATGCAATTATTACAGGAGAATTAAAAAATATGTACTTTTACACTGCAGGAAAGACAAATCCTGCCATCAGCCTTCAATGTCAATTTAATTCTATGGCTCTCTTAGCAAAAGTCACATCTGAGATAGAGAAGAAGATCAAAAGTTTAGTTCTCAATTTGACCACTACCCAAAATAGGCATATTTTAAACTGAGTTATCAAGTTGGGTAGGCAAAGAGACAAGTAAGCAAATATGTAAGTAAGTAAGTGAGTGAGTAAATAAGTAGCTTCATGTGAGTCATTTATTAACACTTATTATTCAATCCACAAAAGAATTAGAGACATAATTGCAGCTACTTAAAGAATTTCTGAAACCTCAATAAACTAGCAATCCGTCTCTCATGGGCAGCAGAGACAGAAGGATCTCCCAGAGTTAAATGTTAATTAAGTTCTAGGCAGAGCTCACATTGTATAGTGCTCTTTTAAGTTCCAGGAAAGTATAAGATGAGTTTAGAGTATCTTGCCTCAGAAAGTAAGCCAATGTTTGCAAAACAATGTCAAGCCAAAAGACATAGAAGCCACCTTGAAGAAATTCACACTGGCCAAATCTTAGACAATTTGAATGTTCAAAATAAATAATGGCCAAACAGAGCAGATACTAAATGCAGTGCCAAACAATGACTCTGCTCAAGTAAATACATGAAGACACAAATGACAAGAAGAAAATGCTTTTTCCTTACACTAAAAATTCAATTGACAAATGCAAAAGAAATGATAAGAAAATTATCTTTTTTGCAACCAACAGAATAATAATTCAGCAACATTTAAAAAAAATAGTTTCTGAAACAGTGAATCAAGCTGTGAAAAGGATAGAACATTGATAATCAGAGTACCTTCCCTACACATTTATCTAAAACCAAATCTAGGGGAAGTGACTTCACAGAGTAAAAGCATAGGCAGGCCCACCTTTCCCAAGGAACCAAAGTGAGCACCATCAGCAGTGGACAGATAGAAATCTGGGGTGGGATAGGAGAAAATACAACATTGTCAGAAATGCATCACATTGAGAAAGTGAGTCACTCAGCAGTACAGCTCTTGCCTAGTGTGCACAAGGTCTGACCCTAGCACTGTCTGCAAACAAAGAAACTGCAAGATATCAATCTGATTATAAAAAAAGACCAGAAAAATCTTAAATTTACGTGGAGGGACATACTTCAATGTATCTGATGCACTTTTTTCAATGTTGTAAGAGTCCAAGAAAGAACAAAAATGTAGTCCAGACTGAAAAACCTAGAGATGTGGCCAACCAGGGGCCAACGAGCAGCAGGCAGGCAGACTTGATCTGGGTCTGAGGCTAACCATTAGTTTTCTAATTGAATAGCTCTACTGAAGATGTTTGGACAATCACACTGGTGGAGGAAATATACACTGATATGCTCAGAGAATTTTGGACACTGTCATAAACTGAACCCCAATGTCTCCCAGAGGCCATGCGTCATCTCCTGAGGACCTTTAAGAGGTGGAGTCTCCTAAAAGATCTTCAGAGAGTTCTGGTGCACTTCCCTCTTCCCTTCTGTTTTCTGGCCACAAGGTATAAGTTTAGTTCAACACAGGCTCAAAGCCAAGGGACCAAACCTTCTTTTCTCTTAACAATTTAGTTTCAGAGAAAAAAAGTAGGCTGACATGGAATAGTTACTTTAACATGGCCTTATGATTAAGTTCTGCACTAAGTTTTATACCTTTTTTTTTTTACAATACTACAGCTGTTTTGCATATAATTGCAACCACTCATTAGAAGGACATAAACATTAGAAATAAAAAGTATTAAAGGAAATCACTGTATTAAATTTTTACTTGCAAAAGGTACTCTTTAACTTTAAAAATCCACTAATGGTTAATCTTCATAACAATTGTAAATATTCATAAATATGTCATGTTTAATTCAACAGACAGTGGGCGGGCGTTATAAAGCAGCCTCCCAGCAAGACAGGAGAGGAAACATAATGAAGAAACAGTCTTTACCCTCTGGGTCCCTAATCAGTAAAATGCGCATGCTTCCCAGTTCCAGCTTTCGTTCTCCTTATACACAAAGATCTCTGAAAAGCAGAATCAGATACCTTGATTTAGCTGTGTGGCATCCACAATCTGAACACCATTCACAGAGCACTGGGACCCACTCAGGGGTATCAGAGTCACTGTTCCCCCGGCATTCTCAAAGACACAATGTTCACTCTCCAAGTCAAGGCCATGAAGGACTAGGAGAGAAAAACAAAGGAGGAAGTTAGGCTTCACTTTGGTGTATGCTATCATGATTTCCATCTACTTACTGAATTTCCATTTTGAACACACCTTTTATTTTCCATAGAAGTGCTACAACATATCTTTTTAGTGATAAAATTCTAATATGTGAGGCTATAACATCAAGTGGCAGAGAAAAAGGACCATTGACAGTCACTTCAAAGGATCTGGCTATCTGTCTATAACAAAGTAAGCTCTGACATGGCAGCTTATTCTTCCCAAAGGACAACACAGTTGACTAGTTTAATGGAGAACTTCTTCTCAATACTGACAAATTTGCGCCAGCACAGGGAGACACAAGAATGAAAGCATCTGTGGGCTTACGATCCATGAGCACCTCCACACTTACAGATAATGCTTCCCCAAAACAGAAAACGAGCATGCCATGGCTCCCAGGAGGTCCTAAGAAAGTAGTTCTCAACATGTGGGCTGCAATCCCTTTAAAAAACACAGGTAATTGCACTGTTATTCATAACAGTAGCAAAATTAGTTATGAAGTAGCAACAAAAATAATTGTATGGTTGAGGTTCACCACAATATGAGAAACAATGAAAGGTCACTGTATTAGAAAGGTTTGAGAACCACTGTCCCAGGAGCTTCCAGAGGCTTCGATGGGGTACCCACCATAGCCATAGCCTATGCAAACTCTGAGACCTCTGAAAGCAGCCAGTCACCGATGGGTATCTGATAATCTATAACCATCTTGCCTATAGCAGATGTGAACGCCTCTCATATAAACCAGTTTCTTATGAGTAGCTCTCATTCTTTGCAGAACTCCAGCAACGGATCTCTATGGTTAGAGATCATTGTCCTTACTAACTCCCCTCATTTAAGGCCACTCCCATAGCCAAATGCATAATTCAAACAAGCGGCTTGATGCCAAAACAGACTTAAAAGTACTTGAGTCTGGAGGATTCTGGAAATGTCTCTGGCTCTCCCCATCTGTAGTAATACTAAGTGTACAAAGAAACATTGGACAAGTGGCTCATTAGCACATACTTGTTAGAAAGCAGGTTCCTCACCAGGGACTCTAAACTCCTTGAAATGGTATAATTCTTTCCCCAGTTCCCAGTTGGCACTGTGCCCCTCTATGCATAGACACCAACTCACAGTACATTCTCCACCCACAGATCCGTCTAAGGGATGCTCAGAACACTGTGCAGGCTGTCATCTGCTCAGGCTGACTTCCTGGCTATCTGTATGCCTTGTGAAGACTGTAGGACACCCAGAAAGCCATGCCTTCTCATGTGTGCCTGATATGTGATCTCATACTTTGCCATAACCTTTGTGTAGAGAACTCTCTATATCCTGCGTTTTGAAGGACCTGGGATCCTTTATCAACATCTGCTGACTTATTTCCATCAATCATGGTGGCAATACAGAGGGACAGGTGTAGAATGATTTAAATAACTTTACTAGCATGGTAGAGAATGTACATGGGGCGTCAGAAAGAAGTCATACTTTAGTTTTGTTCACTCGATTAAACATCCTTTTTATTCAACTGGGCTATAGTCAAAATTATAGTCACACATATATTGAGCAATATGCTTCAAAATTTTCTCTTATAACTATATCAACATCAGTCAGGAAAAAGAAGATTGTTCATTATCTATGGTTTTTAAAACTGCTAAGAGAACATTGATAGTCTCACCAATATCTTGTTCTGTTGAAGCATCTTCTCTGCCAACGAAAGTCTGACCTTCCTGAGAAGGAAATTCAATAATATTCGTTAGTGAGCGCAGGAGGACATCCTGCTGCTCTGCTTCTCATCCTATCTTGATGGATTCCACCTGCTGGGCAACAGAATAAGCAAGGTCTGGGGTGCACAATGGCCTCAGTGAACTCAGGGTACTAAACACTCAAGTGAAATCCTCTGTGGTCTGCTAAGTACCAGCACCACTGCAAAGGCAAAGTGCTCAAGAAGTGAAAGCTTACAGTCAGCTCAGGGCAGCCATTTCAAGGATGATTCAGATCAGTGGACAAGGGCTTCATTGTGTCCAAAGATGCATGACATGAGAGGCCACAAAACTCAAGACAGTATAATGTCATTCTGAGTTATAGATCAGAGAAAAGCCACTAAAATTGAGGTCACAGCGGCAACCCTTGATAACTGACAAGGAAATCTGACCTCTAGAACAGTGGGAACTGTTCAGAACTAAAGCTGACTGTCTAAGAGGAAGGTACCATATAATAATTACCAGGAGGAACCAGCAACTGTGCACATAGCAAGTCCCAGTTCTGGGTTCTTATTCCTTCCTCAGTTTTTCTACCTCTCTTTCCTTATCTTCCTTTTTATGATTCCACAGAAAAGAAGCCAAAATGGATGACTCATCATTTAACTTCAGAACTCTATATACACAGGAACTTCAAATACCACTGAATCCCAATGAACTGTAGAAAATCCCCAAAGGCTCAAGGATTTGTTATATATTCTTTAATTTAATAGTTGTATTCATGACCATAAAGTACTATAATAAACCTTGCTAGAGTCTAAGGTGATGTCGGGAAACAAAATTAGAATGTTCCACTTAAGCAGTTTCTACCTTCAAGTGATACAAGATGATTCCGGTACTCAGAAGGTCATCATCAATGCCAATCAGGTGCGGCAGTTCAGAGTCCAGAACCACACCAATGCCCTCTTTCCTGAGGGCTAGGGTTTGCTCCTGAAATCAGGAGGAGAGATAAGAAAGAGATTATTTTGGGGAAAGACAACTTCATATTAAGTGTCTTTAGATATTTGAAGTAAGTAATATTTTATTTCCTATAAAAATAAACAGAAAGAAAAATGGACTTTAAAAACTGGCAGGCAGTAGGCAAAATGAACTCAGAACATATAAAATGTTCAACATAAAATGAATTGAACTCTTAGCTTGATATATATAACATTTTCAAAGTCAATCTCAAGGCCCATCTTCCTTAGCAAGGACTTTACAATCTCCCTTTATAAGGTAACCTTTCTCTCTTCTTCAGATCCTGCACTTTCTTAATAGCTAGAAGTCTCTTTAATTGCCAATCCTTCTCTCTGGCCACCAGGATATACTGAGCATGCTTTTGAGATAGCAGCTCCCTCAATAAGTTCTTCATCTCTGTGTCAGAGATACCCTCCATACCTTATATCATCTTCACAGGGACTCAGAACTCTTTCCACGGACACGTACCTCTAACAGTTCTTCCCTCCATCCATGGGGGTGGTTTAAATGAGAAATGCTCCCCCATAGTCTTAGGTATTTAAATATTTGATCTGTTTTGGAAGGTTTGAGTAGTATAGCCTTGCTGGAGGGAAGTATGTCAATGAGACCAGGCTACTATTACTTCTAATATGCTCTCTTCTTCCTGCTTATCATGGAAGGTGTAAGCTCTCAGCTTCCTGCCATCATGGAAGCCCTATGCTGTCACATCTCCTCACCATGATGGACTCTTATACCTCAGAACTGTAAGTCGAAATAAACCTTTCCCTCTACAAACCATCTTAGTCATAGTCTTTTTCCAGCAACAGACAAGTAACTACATAAACCACAACTCCCTCAGCCCAGCAGAACCCTGAGAGAGCTATACCTACCTCCAAATTTCCCTGCACTTCGCAAATTCCTCCCTGCTACTCTTTTGAAACCACCTCATGGACACTGTCAATCTTTGACTCTACTCATACTCACTCCCGGAATGATACATCTCACCCTGACTCTTGACTCCCAGCCATTCATATCCCAAGGACTTTTCAGTTAAAATTGATAGGACATACCTCTCTCTTAAATTCCAGACATACATACTTAAACCTGCCTAGCTCAGTATCTTTAGAGAAATAACAGAAAAAAACTTAACACATTAAAAAAAAACAAACAAACAAAAAGAAAAAGCCTTTAAACCTGTAGACTATCCACTACATATCAGTAAATGCCAATCTTCCTTATTATTTATTACTCAGACGAAAGCCCGTGACAATACACCACTTTCTTTCTCTAAATTCTACACCCATAGTGTTGAGTCTACCGTCAAAATACACTCTAAGTCAGCAAATACGGAGACAAAGTGTGGGACAGAAACTGAAGGAGGGGCCATCTGGAGACTGTTCCACATGGGTATCCATCCCATGTGCAGTAACCAAAGGCAGACACTAATGTGGATGCCAGGAAGTGCATGCTGACAGGAGCCTCATATAGCTGTCTCCTTAGAGGTCTGCAAAGGCCTAACATATACAAAGGTGGATGCTCACAGCTAACCAGTGAACTGATCACAGGATTCCCAGTGAAAGAGTTAGAGAGAAGACTAAAGGGGCTGAAGGGGTTTGCGGCCTCATGGGGAGAGCAACAATACCAAACAACCAGAGCTCCCAGGGTCTAAACCACCAACCTGGGAGCACATAGGGAGGGACTCATGGCCCCAACTGCATATATGTGGGGGAGGAAGGCCTTATTGGGCATAGGTGGGAGAGGAGGTCCTTGATCCTGTGAAGGCTGGATGCTCCAGTGTGGGGGAATTTGAGGGAAGGGAGGTGGGAGTGGGTGGGTGTATGGGAGCACATCCTCATAGAAGCAGGAGGATAGAGGATGGGATAGGGGGTTTCTGGGTGGGTGGGGAATGGGGTAATAAGATAACATCTGAAATGTAAATAAAATATCCAAAAAAAAATTACACTCTAAGTCACTACTCAAACCCCTGCACTATTTTGGCCAACCCTAGGTCATCATTACCTTTTACCTGGAGTGCTACAATGACCTAAGGAATCAGTTAAATTCATACTTCAGTAGGCAGAGAGATGTTAGAGCAGGTAACGCTGCTCAGAAATTTTAAATGCCCTTTACTGTTGCTGAGAGACACGGTCAAGTCTTTATAATGCTTTACAGGTACAGGATGGCCTCTTCTGTTCCAACCCTACACTAATTTCTTGCCACTGACTCCTGTGGTTCCCAAACTTGCTAGCCAGCTCAACTGTAAGACTTCATCATGGATGGTGCTTCTGCCATTGCTCTTCTGTCTCTTCCCTGGAAGCAGAGTTTGTGCACCTCACCACTACTGACACTTACAACTCATTCTCACCTACTGGTGGACATAAGACAGTGTCCCTAGCCTCTATTATAGAATATTGGTAATAGCCTACATCTGTGCAAAGTGGTAGCAAACAAAAATGCCCCTGGATATTCCCATGTGTCCCCTGGTATACACAAACAGCCTTGGTGCATAAATATGCCCATTACTTCCTTCATGTCTCAATTCAAAGTCCCTCACTTTACCCCACTACAAAACAGCAAGGCCCAGTCTTCCTCATGCCTACTTGTTTCCCTCTTAAGTGGCTGTGAACCCTACATTTGCCAAGGGTCTGAGTGGGTAGACATAAGAAGTTAGGGCAGTGTATCATATATAGACTCAGAACAATCTCCTAGAAACCAATGGGTTCATTTCTTCACTCCAAGCACAACTGGCCCAAAACTAAACTGAAGGCTCTGGAGACGTTCAAGGTAGGAAACTGACAGATTCCAAAAGATTTTGGGTAAACATTTCAAATGAAATTGAGCTGAATTGAGTTTGAATGAAACCCTTCCCATATGTGAGACACTATTGTAGACATGATAGACATACCGGGTAGCAGACCCTAGCTACTATGCATGGTTTCCAGACAGAGATACTCCTGAGGAATATCTCTCACCTGCTGTCACATTTCGCTATCTCAGAGCTCACACCTAAGCATGCTACCTTTTATCTCTGGGAAGAACCTATGTACTATGGTGCCATTTAATCTGACAAACAACATACTACCTAGCATTTCTAAGCAGAAGATTCTGAACCTCTTAAGCAGTGTCAAGGTAGAACTCAAATACTGAACTCAAAGGAGTCCCTGATAAGTTCAGGACCAGGGCATGAAGAGTGGAGAGTCCCTAGTAACTTACTTCTTTAGACATTTAGGTTTCAAATGCACACGTGAAGTCATATAAGAGGGTGATAGAATGAAGGGACCCAGAAACATGGGTATTAAAAAAAAACACATAAAAATCACCACTTGGAAGAAAGCAATTTAATTTAACAACCATTAAATAGATACGCAGAGAAATGGCCAACACATAAGTTAAGATTCTAGAAAAAGAAATGAATCATATCATTGTTCTTCAATTACACCTCCTATCAGCCAAACTCTCATTCCATGGCTGGGAACCTCAGACTTGGAGGTCGGGAGATTCAGTAACCTTAATTTATGACGCCAAGGCTCTTACAAATCATGGCTGAAATGAGCACTCTACACAGAACAAGCCCTATTTCTACCTTTCGGGTTAGTAGGATCTATGACTTTCCTTCTGATGATGGAATTTCAACCAAAGTGAGATACATGATTTTTTAAGATATATATTATAGAGGAGAATTTAATCACTAAGTTCCATATATAAAATAATGTCCATGGAAAGTCTGGTCTCTGAACCAGGTGATAGTGTTGCATACAGGAATGAGGCTCCAAGGGGATGAGCTGGTTCTGTCATAGACAGGAAAAGGGAAGTGACTTCTAATTCTAAGTCCAGAGACGTATATGATATCTGTTACAAAAACCAAGGACATGAATCATATGGGGGTAGGGGAGAAAAGAAGGGAAGG